GACACCTTAAATAGAGGTTGTTCTTCTTTGAAAAATCATCAATATCAATATGCTTTAATTTAATTTCAATTTTTACAAAATGGGTATTTTCTAAATAGCTACAAGAAATAATTATCATGTCATTGTTGTGCAAGCATTGCTAACATTTCTTTTTTTGTATTGAAAACTTAAAAAATAAAATACTTGTGCATGTTAAACAGTTATGACACTTTATACCAAGCGCAAGTTTTCGGTCCTTTCCGCCAGTATTCGGTATTATGAATAATAGTAGAGGACTTTCCGATTAAGTGTATTCTTCAGCCTGTTCGCGGCAACAGATTATACACATGCGGGTCAGCGATTGGCTGAAAAAAGTGCATGGAAAACCGAAAGATTCAATTGGACATTAGGTGATTGGATGTAAAATGGTGTATTTTAAGTATAAAAACTAATTTAGAAAGTAACTCTTTATTGTTTTCTGAAGAAAAAGGAAATATTTCATGAGTCTCTATGATAATTTGTAATTTGTACATTTGCATTCATGAAAGGTGTATGTCAGTCCTGTGATCAGCAGAAAATTTCAATGAAATTGGGGGGAGGCGGTAATCCTCTTTAAAGTCATTTTGCAAAAAAAAAAACAACAACAAATGGTTGGCTTCCCCTATATAACAGGAACACTTTTATGTGTCAGGCATTTCATTCTGCTAGAAAAAATCACCTCTTTAGCATGAAAACTCAATTTTAAGGTAGGATTAGGGACCATTTCTTATAATGTAAGTCTATGGGAAAATCAATGTTAGTGTCTGACCTGCAACCAGTGCTGTGCAGAAAAAGATCAGTTGGCAGTTCCGTGTCGTCTGCTCATATTGAAACACCCCGTGTTTAACACTAACAGGAATTAATAAACTTTCTTAACAATAACATGCAACTTACCATTTATTCTTGTTTACATATATGTGACATCAATTTTCATGTTAATTCTACGGCTGCTGATTTTTACCAGCCATTAAATGCACAATAGACAGTGTTTTAGTACAAATACAAAACACGTAAGTCCATTACACAGGTAATGAAACTGGTTTAACACTGCACTGTTTGATTCCCTGTGTACAAATTGAATTGTTACTAGAATTCACGACTTGCCAGTTTCCTCTTCAATTTATTCCTTTGACACAATTTTCCGTAAGATTTTATGTAGTCCATTATGTAAGGACATCACTTTTACTTCAATTTGCTAAGTCATTGTTGTTTATCCCATTTTTATAGTAAGTATGCATCTAAAGTTTGAAATCACATGTTAAACTTTGTTCTACTGACGGCCATTTTACTCTTGCATTATGGGTGTTACCAAGGTCACCCAGCTTAGTAACGAAAAGTAAACAAAACCTGAAAAGGGAAATGTCTTTGTCAAACCAGAAACGCACTTTTAATGGCCTGTTTAAGGTATAATTAGAGTAAAATAAGTTTGTTTTATAAGTATTTTTCATGTTATTTTTGTAAGTTCACAATTTAGAAAGATTTCCCGTCACGGTTGGGTGATACGCCCATTTTTGGATGATTCACCCTTTATGGTTGAATGACTATGGGCGAATTGAACATTTATTTTAAGTAATTGACCAAAATTGGTTGATTTTTACCGTTTCTACCATGTTTTGGGTTGTGGGTGAACGGTCTAGTATATAAAGGCTCTGAAATTTTCTCAGCAAGCTCAGTTTTGACCAGAAATTCCAACGTAAAACTACGTTCGTTTATTTAGAAATTCTTGGCAATAGATGTACGTTAATTTGCCTGCTGAAATCTTAACTTTAATGTTAAATTTAAGTAACAAGTCAAGTTTATTAAAATACTAGGATTATATCTAGTTAAGTGAAATACAGAGCTGTGGATATTTTTTTATACAACCAATATTGAATTTTTATATATCTTTTACATAATAACATTTTAAAAGTAACTGGTAGCGAATTTTACTACACTGTTTATTGAAGTAAGTCTAGTAACTAACGTCACCGCGAGATTTGTGGGTCATCAGTGCTAAATATTATTTTGAAGGTGTATCGGTACTAAATTATTGTAAGGTGATCTGTGAGCTGTCTTAATTTATATTGAGAGCTGTTTGCTGATATAAATTATACATGTCTGTTTAACAGTTATTGTTATTAGAAATACCAACTTGTTGAATAAATTTTATAACTGTTTTCAACGGTGTCGACTGATTACTGTCAGATGAGTGGGAGATCTACAAACTACAGCAGTTCTGTACCCTGATTGCATGTATACCTTGAAAGCCTGAGTACTAATATACAGTTAGAGTAGAGTATCCAGTATACTTAAAGAGTCCCCGGCCCACTAGACCGCAACAATATTATGTTCTGTTCGCTTTCAGTCACTTTTCGTAAAAATAATGAATTCACAGTGGAATGAGATATTTAACGTGGTATAAATAATTGTATTGTTTGTTTTCACTGTGGTGCAAAGTAGGCTCTCTCCCTCTCGTTAATCATAATTTGAGCCGCGTCACGACAAACCAACATAGTGGGTTTGCGACCAGCATTGATCCAGTAGCCTGCGCATCCGCGCAGTCTGATCAGGATCCATGCTGTTCGCTATCAGTTTCTCTACTTGTAATAGAGTTGGTAAGCGAACAGCATGGATACTGATCAGACTGCGCGGATGCGCAGGCTGGTCTGGATCCATGCTGGTCGCAAACCCATTATGTTGGTTTTGTCGTGACGCGGCTCATTCATTGCAGAAAATCTTAAGATGACCATAAAGAATTGATTGCATTAGTAAGATAATTACTCTTAAGATATAAATAGGTTTTGTTTAAATATATTGATAAGAATAACTCGTATGAAAAACAAAAACAAAACAAAAACAAACAAACACCTAGGAAAGTTGACAATCACGACTAAACCACTTCTAAGATTTGAATAATACAACAATTAGAACAGAACTGTTTTGATGTATTATGATTGTTATTAGTATAAAAATATTATTTCTTTAGGGAGTAAAAATATTCTATTTTTATTTTTTATATAAATGACTTATGAATTATTTAACACTTTCGACATTTGACAATAATAAAATATTACTGAACTCGTGACTCAAAATATGTATTTAATTTAATACTGCACGTTCGCTTTTTCATCAAATGTAAAAAGGTTCGCAATTGCACAAATTGCAGTTAATTTTACTGTAACATTATGACATTTCGATATTTTTTCAAAAAGCGATTGAAAAAAAGAAACGCTACATTTTCAGATCATTCTTTTTATTAATCATTATTGGTTTATCAGCAATAAATATCGAAAGTGAACAGATATGTTTTATTTGTGATATTTATGTAGTTTTAAGCTGTCGAAAACAACAAAAATTAATGCAAAATATATATTAAGTAAGAAATCATGCACGTGCAATGTAATGCATATGACTGACGCTGATATTATATCTATCCTCGGTAATTATAAACCGATACAAGGAATACATATTGAGGGAAAGCACAACTGGTAAAATTATATGAAACTTAATCTTTTCCCTTTAGATATCGTTATTTGTGCATTATCTAATGGTTTATTTTTGTAGTTCGAAATGGTATACATTTTTTTTCCGTATTAAAAAGATAAAAGCCCTATCATGTTAAGAATTACAATGAATATGTCAAATATGCAAATATGCATAGCTTATCAAATAACAAAATTACCTCTTATTTTAATTACTCTCCTTATCCTTTTTTATTTCTATAAATATAATTTTACCTGCATAACGAGAAAACTTCTTTCAAAAAGCCATGACTTGTTGATTTAAATAGATTTTTGTAAAACGCAGTAAAATAATTAGTTGTCATTTGTAATTTATTTTCATAAAATCAAGAGGTTTAGAGTAATATATAAATTGACAACTGCATAAAAATAATTTTTCAGTTTTCAGAGTGATGTATATCTACTAAAACATTATATTTTCAGGTCAAGCATTTTAGTTTTTGAAACATCAAATAATAATTATTATAAAAAAATGGCCTTGTGTAAAGCAAGCATATATATCCGGGCTGCTAGGCGTTGGTTATATGGCTAAAATGCCGTTTATATATGACCATATAACTTGTCAAAGGTTTTTTTTAACCAATTTAAAGAAACAATGCAAAAATGCTGTCTGTCATTAAGATGGAAATTTAATCATTAATTTGCATTAGTGTACATGTATATAGAAAATAAAAACGTCACTACTAAGTATTATCCAACGAAAATCGATGTTTCAAACGTGCAGTATTATAAATCATTATTTTTTCTTTTGTCGGTTGCTTATGTTTGCCTTCAGAAAAAATTATTTTGATAAAAAAGATTGAAAATTTATTGCTGGGTTGTCATATTTCATGACCGGAATGACCTGGGGTAAAATGAGACCGGATTACTTTATTCTTGAAAGAATTAAATGGTTTAATAAAAAATATAAGCGTTTATTTATCTACTTCTTTCTAAAACATTAATAAAGATTTTGACTCCACAAGAAAATGTTCAAGTAATTTATCCAATTTTTATGTACTTTGTATCTTATTTATTTCAAGGTTTATCCCTTTTTCTGTATGAAAATTATCCAGTAATTCAATATTCAATACAACCGCAAAAAAAACTATTACATTACTCTATTTTAAGAACCATGAGTTGTATGTATTTATAGATATAATATACGTATATTTCGCAAATCACTTGTCGCTGATAACTACTGGGCAAAAAAGAAGAAAGATAACCCGTAACTCACATACCATGTTATGATTTTTTTTCTGTACAAACATCTTTTATACTGTTTTTTTTTTCCTTCTGAATAACAGTCCTTGGAATAACAATGGATAGGTTCAGTGCCAACGGAGGACACTTTCATTATATAAATATATTGATTTTATTTATTTATTTATTTATTAATTTTTTTTATTTATTTGTTTATTTATTTTCATTTTGGTTGGGTTTTTAGTCGCACCAATCATATCATTTTGAAGTAAATTGAACGAACATAACTGAGATTTGTCATTGTTTTTTTTTATTTCTGTAAAACATACATGTACAACTCAAGAAATGAGCATATAATAATAATAATAATAAAACAGATAAAAATTAAATTATTTTTAAATTAAAGCACGTAGTTGCATGTACGTATATTTGTATAGGTGGGAAATGTATGATATTGTATATATCGAACACAATATGATATAAATTAGATAATTGTTAAATACATTACGAAAAAAATAGGATTTCTATACAACGTCAACAGGTTACATTGAATAAAAAGAAGATATTGTTTTTAAACAGCAACAGCAACAACAGTAAATTTATGCTAGTTAATGTGGAGAACCAATCTCATATTTTTGTTCAGTTATAAAGGATTGTTTTTGAAAAATATTCGAAAGCAAGGTTCCTCTCTTTCGCTCCCAACCCTTCCTCCAATTTCTGCACTCAGACTCAAATGGAAGCGACTACAGTCATTGCCAAGCATACATAGATTTACACAATATATGTACATTTGCATTTCATATATTCTTACTACGAGATCACGTAAGTCAATTTTAAATCTTGAGATCAAGCTCAAAACTGAGAAACATAACATTGACCGGAGATTGCAGAAGATGTCACGTGTTATCATCGCACGTGGTGTAAGAAGGCGGGCCAAATCTGTCCGACAATGAATATTCTGGAGGGCGAACAGGTTCTCTGTCACAGTTGTGACGTTCAATGAGCGCGTGCTCCTCGTTGGTAAATACATCTTCATTGTTTAACTCACTTTGTTTAGAATTTCCATCGTTTAATTTCTTACTCCCATGAATGTTGACTGGTTTTGCAAAGCTTTGGCAAAATGCATTGCAGGTGTGGTTCGTGAAAAAGGTATTAATCCCTTCGTCACGTTTGTCCTTATCGCCAAAGCGACCGTCACGTGAGTGAATTGTGGGATTGCTCAGTTTGTACTCATCACCTTTAGCAATACCTTTAAGGTTACAAACCACTAAATTTCCTTCAGATTCTTGGTATGTGAAATGACAAAAGGCGTCTAAAACATCAGGGCCATTGCCGGTTGTTTTGCCACTGACATTTACAAATGTTTTGAAATCACCGTTTAGAAATTCTTCAAATAGCACAACTTCGTCTTCCCCGAATGTTTTATCAAAACGCATGAGAATTCGCATGAATATCATAACATATGATGTAGTGTCCATGACCACATCTATTGGTTTCATTACGTTAATCTGTAAAAAAAAGAGTTTTACGTTCAATTACCTCCTGACAGAAATTGAAAATGCCGTAAATATTTAACTTTAATTTTGTTTTAATAAAAAAATTCATGTTCAAATTATATTTGATCGGACGCAACAACAACAACAACAACAACAACAACAACAACAACAACAACAACAACAACAACAATAATAATAATAATAATAATAATAATAATAATAATAAAACTTTCGATGGGTTCTGTTGTATATATTTAATTTTGTATTGTTAAACCCATGATGCATAAATGTGTCTAACCTTTGTATCGCATGTATTCTTTGCTAATATTTTGTTGAAGGTAGCCGCCATTCTCCTTGTGACATCACAGCGTTCTTTGTATGGCATCCAATCACTGGCTGTGCCTTCTCGATGCCGAAACGCCTTAAGAACAACCATAGTACCGTTGGTATAGTAAATCCTGTGATAAGCCATTCCCTGAAAAAAGAACAATCGTGAAATAGAATAAAAGCTTTAAATCATTCTTTTATTTCATTTAAAGTTTTAAAGAAACACATTTTTCTGATACTCCTTTTCTATATATTTTATGAATGTTTATTGTCATAACAACATCTGACTAATCAATATGTTAATGAAAACAACAACAAACGAAAAAAGAACACACACACACGTACATTCACACGCTCACACGTACATACACACACGCACATACGAACGAACGTACGCACGCACGCATTCGCACGATAACACCTACATACACGCAAGCACGAACGAACGCACGTACGTATTCGCGCACTCACAATCCTTAAACAGCCTACCTTAAAACCATAACATGTTTTCCCTGTCCATTCAGGGTAAAGTTCAAATGTTACCCAGTGAGTCAAGCCATGCTTCCAAGGTCTTGAAGATAGTGTCGTATTGGTCGTTCCCATCATGTACTTTATTCACGCAGTTTTTATCTGTGGTAGTTTATGTATGTTGATATCTGGAGTAAAAAAATCTTAAATAAAATCATACACTTATCATAGCACTGATTAGTGATACCGGTTATGTCATAAAAATTGTATCTTGATATAGTATATCAAAATGTAATATTGGCGGAAAGAAAGAGATTTTGTTTTGGCTTGCCTCAAATAATAATAATAATAATAACAACAACAATAATAATAATGATAATAATAATAATAATAATAGAACAAAACGATTGTTTAATTCAATTTAATATTAAATTTTTGACTTAATTAATTATTTGTTAAATAAATAAATTAATGAATAAATAAAAATATATAAATAAAAAATGAATAATAACGGATGAATATATGAATGAATGATGAATCAATCAAACAAACAAACAAACAAACAAACAAACAATCAATCAGTTCGTCCATTCGTTCGTATATTCATTCATTCATTTATTGAAATAATAATAAACTATACAGACATACTTTTAAAATCCGAAAACATATTCTGTTTCAAACTAAGAAATCGATAAGTATTTGAAACTGAGAAATCGATAAGTATTTTTATTTTCAAAGTCCACACACATTAAGAATATATATTTCTATTGTCACAGAAAAAGATCTACATACATTTCACAAATAACTAAAACTCTGCTTTATACTTTATACACCTTTGTGTCAAATTTTAATCTTTTTTTTTCTCTTAATTTTATTTATCTCATACTGTACTTATGTACCTGAGAGGGTGTTCTACTGCAGATGAATTTTATAATATTTTGTACAATATACATGTAGTATGTTTATGATGTATAAATATAGACTGTATTCGAAATTTGGAAAACCACCAAATCATCGGAAAGTTTTGACATCCCGGGTCAAAGTTCAGCAATCGCAGTTTTTTCTGCTATACGAATCGATAACTAACACAAAAGAACAGGACGGTCAAAATCAACTATTGAATATTACATTAAAAGAATACAATTATGACTAGCTAGATAAACAAAAATAGTAGATTCAACTACTAATACTATTTTACATTGTAACAAATGGGAGTGGGAAGTATTCTATTACGCACACATAATTTATGAAGTATTTTTTATTAAAGCGTACCTACGAATCGGTAGAGTAAAAGTAATAGTAATTGCATTTTATACTCTAAGTTTCATGCTTACGCACGTTCACCGACTTTACAGCTATTACCCCTGGAGTAATGAGAAATTTAAATAGGGTTTAAAAAGAGAATATTAATAATACGAGATAACCAAATAGGTTATTGTTCGGAAGTAAAATATGAAATGTACCCTAGTTAAAAAACACAATGATATACAAAATGCAATGATTGAACAGACTGATGGGGGGGTTGTCTTTGGTCGAGAGTGGTTAAAGTCGTTGCCTAAAAACGCTATAGGTTCGAATCCCCTGCTACTCACGAAACGTCGCTGGTTCTACTCAGTGACTGGTGCCTGAAATAAGTCTGAGGTTTTCCTCCACCAGTTAAACTTGTCACATGACCATTACAATGTTGTAAAGTCTAAAACCCCACACCCCCTCAGCCCATCTCCCCCATTCCGAAAAAAAACTGACTAATGAGTTTATATATAAAATCTACCTTCAGTATCTCGTATCCAGAAACCGTGTAATTGTCCCTAAGCAATGGTTTTCCTGGAACAATACTCTATACAAATACTTGTATCTAAGAATTTTACTAGTCCGACAAAGTATGAATTATTCCACTAAATTAAACAGATTTGTTTCAATCTGTTTAAAACTGTTTGCAAACTCTGAATTTCAACATTTTTATGCACATCAAAATCATGAAACAAAATATCGAGATGAATGAACAAGAAGATTCCTGGTCATAATAAACAATTTTAGAAATGTAATTTTATTCTTAGATAAACTGTTAACACAGAATCTTTCCTCTATATACACGTGATTATTCTCATTCTCTTAACGTTTCATGCTATTTCCAAATCCTAACATGTACTCTAATATAAAGCAAGCGTCTCGAGATGGATTGAACTCATAACCAAACATATCGTAAAGTGTATATTTCCACGAATTTAGAGCATATTCGTTTTGGCACTGCACGTTTTATACCCCGTTTATAGTCCTCTTAAACTTAAACAACACTAAAGTTCAGTGCAAAATTTACAGCGAGTTTCGCTTGTGATTTGGTTTTATTTTAGAATAAGGGTTTTATGAAGAAGCTAGACATACAAAAATAAAAATTTTGTTATCTTTAAGAATGCTTTCACGTAATTTATTACCTTATTAATGGCTGTTTTTTATTACTGATAACCTAATGTTCAAATAAAGATTAAAGTATAGTCCACGTGAGCGTTAACCTATATGCTCTCTCTTTTTCTCAGAAACGAAAATAAATAATTTGATATAAAGCGAAATGTATATATTTTGTACAGATTCAAGGTCACTGTTTTATTTATAGTTTGAAAATACAACTCGAGTCCGCTTCATTTAATGTCTTTTTATTTAACAATATAACAATATCCTTTTATAGCCCTGTATACAACAAAATACCTGCAGCATTTAATTATTGTAACTGACGTAAAACAATTAATAAAGCGGAAGATTCTTAATGGAATAGTTAACTGACATGGTGTAGAACGGAGCGGTCAATATTAGCTCTTATAAGTTTTGATTGTTTTTCTATTCTTGGATATTATATTTTAACTGTTTTCTGGTTAAAACACTGGATTTATAGTTAAACTTTGGTAGTGAACTCTTAAAATGGAAAAACAAGCAGAAAATATGGAGTTTAACAGGCATTTTTCATCCAGCTCTGCTCGTGCTCGGGGAAATCATCATGGCGGCGGTGACGTGGACCCACACGACTGGCATACCAAAACCAAACAAAGCACAAAAAGGCAAAGGCGTTCTACTGGTGGAACATATAATGAGCAAATAGAGAGGTGTAAGTCTGACCCCTTTTCTATTGAACAGTTTAAATCTATGAACTTGGATGATAAACTCGTGACACTGTTTAAAATGCTGACGTGTACAAACAATAACACAGATAATCTTAGTACACGTGTATCAAATGTTGAAAATGATATTGTAAATCCGTCTGATGCTAATGTGCAGCTAAATAGGAGAGTGAAAATCATTGAATATAAAAGTATTGACGCTGAAGCCAGTAACCGTAGAAATAACTAAGTTTCCGAGGTATTAAGGAAATTTATCCGAAAATTGTGATATGCTTGTAGAATCATTTCTCGATGATGAACTTGATATTGACCATACTAGTATTTGCGTAGTACGTGCTCATCGGCTTTGAAAAAGTGAATCCGGGGAAGACACGACCAATTATAGCCTGTTTCAATGATTATCGAACTGTTGAGCACATTTTATCTCGTGCGTATAAATTGAAGGGTAAATATAACTTTGGTATAAACAGAGATTATCCCAAGGAAATTGTTGAAGCAAGGTCACGCATCTGGCATAAATACAAGGAAGAGCGGTCAAAATATCCCCCTAAAACTGTTTATATTGGCTACCCCGCAAAACTTATTGTGAAAAACAGAGTAGTGCAAGATGAATTTCCACTTTGGCAAAACGTCATGCAAATGTCACGTCACATAGAACGCACGTCGGCTAAAGGAGATACAATTACAAAGCAACATGACACGTTGCAAACGCAGCGTACAGATAATCACGTGCTTAAGAGTAACCCTTTTGGCGCGTTATCAGAAATGGTAACAGACAACAATTCTAGCAGCGACAATGAGGCAGATAACGTAGACGAATACAGCCAGTCAATGCGCGACTACGAATCACGACAAAAAGACAAGCATTTTGTCTCAACAGCATCACTATGTGTTACACCGACACGGGATTCCGTGCCTTTCACAAATGAGGATACGGCAGTCAATTTAACGGTTAACAGCAATTCCTAGAGGGCTGGGGGTGATGCCCTGAATAACTCATATGCTAATAATTCTATTGAATTACAACCCCTTGATGAAAATGATAATTTGGAGGCAAATATCGGAAATTCTTCATATGTGAATAATAACGAAATTAATTGCAAACCTGACAAACTTAGGATAGGATGTTTAAATGTGTGTGGCTTGAAAAGGAGATCGAATTACAGTGAATTTATTGAACTCGTAAACAATTACGACTTATTCTTAGTTACTGAAACCAAACTTGATGTGTATGACCAAATTTACTTAAGTGGTTACACTTACGTCAATATTCCGAGAAAACAAAAAGTGGTGAGAAAATCTGGTGGTCTTGGTGCATTTA